CTACTTTATTCAGATGTCAATTCTACGGCGAAAAACAAGGTAAATTTTTAATTTATCTTATATTTAAAGTTTACTTACTTTTGGAGATATTTAAAGTTTAAGATAACACCCGTATAAATTCTTGTTGAATCTAAAACTGGCAATATAAAGTATTTTTTAATCAGCAAAGCAAATGATATTACTTCTTTGAAAGATATAATACTACAGATATACGAATAAAACATATTGTTAACAATACAGAGTGTCCATTAATACGTGGAGATTTTGAGGAAAATCGACTCCATACTACACACTTTAACAGATTTAATAAAACTTATTTAAAATGCAAATAAAATATATACTAACAAAAAACTTGACAACTATGAAATAGAAATAGATAATGACAATAACAAACAGAAATGTCAAAGTTTGATTAAAACTTAATGCGCCATAAATAAAAACATTGTGATGTCATAGCCAACTACATTTTTAAATATTTTGATATTTCTTTGTTGTTTTGATGCCAGATGAAACGAGCATTTTAAAAAGAACATTTTTAACAAAACTTTATAGACCGAATTAACGAATTTATTTATTCAAATTAGTTAACTTGATTAGTTAGCCTATAAACTTTAATTATTTATTTTTGTTATTTGGTATTTTCAATCAAGCTAGATATTAAATGTTTCTTTAAATATGAATTCTGAAGTTTTGTTAAATCTGCATTGTTAGCAATATTCAATAGCAATATTTAGCGATATTCGTATATCTTTAGTTTATATCTTCTTTGCCATTTAAAAAATACCTAATATTGCCAACAAGTGACCTAATGTGGGCAGCTTTAAATTCAACAAGAATTTATACGGATGTTATCTTAAACCTCGAATATCTAAAAAAGTAAGAAAAATTTAAATACAAGATAAATCACATACTTACCATATTTTTTATCCTAGAATTGATATCTGAATAAAAATATAGGGCGCTCCATGTTAATTGAATTCGCCAAAACGGCACCACCTATTTGTATAAGCTGTATAAGTTGAGGCGCATCTGTGAAACTGATTGAGTTGTGCATCATCTCCTTAGTCTGTGGTTAAATTTTCGTTGCAGTAGCGTCACAACATAATTTTATATGGGGCAATCAAAATATGGAAAAAAAACATAACATCAATTTCTACCTAAACTATGCAAAATTCAAATAGGAATTTCTTAATAAAGTGACCTTTATTTTAACCAAGGATACAAAAAATGTCGATATATACAGGGTGTTCATTTTAAAATAACAAAGTTGATGTCGGGGGGACACTTTTGGGCCACCCTGTATCAACAAAATTATAGTATATTAAATCTTCAGGACAGTCCAAGAAACTTTTGTACTAAACTTTTCTCGTATCTCCTATGCGTTTCCAGATAGTATAGTGGATCGTTTTATTTGGCACGCGGTGTACATGACACGATAATAATCATAAAAAAGGATCGGTTCAAACTGAAAATGCCGCAAGGAATAAGGAAATATTTAATCGATCCCATTTTCTGTCCCAACACGTAAAATCCAATTTGATCGGCACGATAAAGCAAAAGGGCAAAGTCTAGATTCGCCCAAATGAAGTTATCGAGTCGAGGATGAGACGTCAGATCGTGGAAGAACGTCTATTGTTCTGTACCAATGAGAAATACCGAGGTAAATAACACATGAATGAGGCGCATTCGAACTTTCGCAGCGAGACCGAAACTAGTAACGTTATTTTGTGATTGATGAGAAGCTGATTGAATTTGCCGCAGATAAGAAAGGAACCTCTACCATAGTCGGTGATTAAATTCTCGTATTTCACATCAGCGATCCTTGCTCTGGTTATTGGGAATGGATCAAATTATCCTACAATAAGTTTATAGAATTTTGCTTTATCTGGTTGTGCGCCAAGTGCATCAATATTCAGTCGTCTTTGTTTCATGATCGAAAGCCGAGGATATTGACTAAATCCAGTAAGCAGATTATTAAAATGATATTTTTATGAATAAAATGAAATAAATTTATCTTAAAATTAGTATATAATTAAATGAATGAATCTTCTTAAAAATATTTTGAACAATTGAGATTACCATGGTAAGCTACTCTAATAAGAATTCCAAGTTGTCAGAGTCACCGAACGTTGTTTGGAATCAGCTGATGTGAACGAAAATCCTCGCAATCGTAGTATAAAAAACCGCTGAAAGTTCACTCATCAAGCTTCGCTCTTGGTGTCGACGTTAAGCCAAAATTCTGATGTGATCATGGATCTCAGATAAGCAGTGTCCCTATTTGTATTTATAAGCGTTTCAATTAAATTTACCAAAATTGGGAATATCAAATGACAACAGGAACTGAATTTTATTGGTGCAAAGATATGTATTTTGGACGTTTTAGGAGAACTCTGCATATTATTGCGTAGCCGTTAGAGTTAGCTGCTTTTGAACTCCTGTCGCCGCTGTTGCCGATCACTGCGTTATCGCTTAAATGCTTACTGCACTTTGATGTTTAGTTTGTGTATTTTCTTTCTCCTTCTACTCCTTCAACATCTAGTAGATGTCTTCCGTATTACTTTGAGTACATAAATAAAAAGACGATGTGTCATTAAAAGCAACTGGTAAATATAAATTTATATAATAATGGCATTAAAGAGTAATGAAATGAAATTTTGGTTTCTAAATATAAATAAAATGTTTTTTATAAGATCTTACATTTAAAACTTTAAATTATAAATAGTGATAAACAATTTGAAGGACTTTTGATATCAAAATTGATTGTTTGGTGACTTGTGGTTCTAAAAAGGTAACGAAAAGTATACAATATGAGTCACCAGCAAAAGTTCTCATTGGCTTGGCAATAGATTCTTTTTGTTTTACTCGACTGCCATTTTTTATTTACTTTCACGTATACCATCACGCTTCTTTAAAGCGCATATTTTGAAGAAGCAAGCTTACATTCGGACGCACTTTATGTTTGATCTCTATATTCAATTGCTTCGGGTTAAATAATTCAAAATGTCAAACGCACAGGTAAAGTTAAAAGATATTCAAAATAGGAAACTACTATTCTATTATTAAGGATTTCCGCTAGTTTTATCAAAACTCTTATTTCTAAATATTCATTATTTAAAAATTTATTAATTTTAATTTATTAATTCATTTTATTATAGTTAAAATTATTTAAGTTTTCTTCCAATTTTTGAGAAATACTGCATCGAAGTCGAATCTATTGAAATTTAGAAGAAAATAACTAATAAATCACGCAATTCAAAACGTAAATAATTAAACATAAAATAAATGCGTTTCAACTTACTTCCGATTACAATTATTATTTTCGACGGCTTGTTTGGCCTAATTTCTCCAAGCAGCAGTAAGCCTAGCTATTAAGAGTTGCCATTTATTTTTCACCTTTGAAGTTTTGAAGTTTGAGTTGGTCTAATTTTGTTGTGCTGTGTAAATACGTTTTTGTAGTTTTTGAGTAAATTTAACTTTTCGTAGATAGATTTCCGCAGGTTCTGGCAGGGAGATGGAGTAACGAGTAAAACAAAAATCGAATCAGCTGCAAGGCGCCGACTACTTGAGAAGTTTGTATTTCGTGTTAAGTCCACCGACATGTTAAAGTTACTTATTAATTAATAAATCAATTTATTTTTTAACTCGACACTTTTTTTTAGACACGAAACGTTCTCAACTTACAGCTACATTTCAGAGAAAATCATCTTATTATATATAATTCTTCATCGCAAAATTATTAGAAATGTTTTTTTATAACATTTCCTATTTGCAACCGATGAGGCCACTACTTTTTTTTAAATATATCGGGTATAATTTAGGGCTTCAACATGAACTCATCTGACGCGTCTCCTCATGTTAAAAATTTAATTTTAGAATAATTATAACGTAAGGACTCAAAATTTATTAAAAAATATATTATGAAAACATTAATTTTAGTAAGGATCTAGTTATTGAAACTTTGACGACGAAAGTGAATTTATTAAACTTTGTGTGAAACTTATTGATTAAAAAAAACTGCTTCCAGATGGTTTGTTAGATGGATATACAGTGGCTAAAGCCAAATGTGTGGAAGTTATTATTAACTATTCCTTCTTTCGGAAACCAACAAGGCGGGGCGAATACATACCATTGTAAATTGTATTGGTAATTTAAGTAGGAATAAAATATATATTATTTTCTTTGAATGGCCTTTTGTCCTGCGTACTTTGTGAGTAGTGCTAGAAGTTTTTGCATTTTATTCAATTTCAATGATTAACGATATATATTTTTTAACTACCTAGATTTCATTTGTTTGCAGTTGAGTATTTACAATTCGAATGGGCAAACTGTATTGGCCGTGAAAATAAGTTTTTTCGTTTGTTTATTCTAATTTAAAACTATAAGTTAATATTTCTTATTAACCTTAAATGGAAAAAATAAATAATAACACAAGCGGTTAATATATATTAGAGTTTATATTAACCGTCAGAGCACAGCTAAGATTGTCATGTTGCAAAGCGATTGATAAAAAAATAACGCGGTTTTCAACGTCCAACCAATGAAGCATATGTAAATTAATTTTCTTAATGATCCGTTTGAAAGGTTCAGGTGAAATGTGACTCAAAATAAACGATTTAATCTCCCTAATTGTTCAGACTCAATAAAATGCCACTGCCTTACAAGAAAATATAGATCTTCTATAATCTTTTGGTTAATTCTATTGCGCCTTTTGACTCCAAAACCTTCGCTTATAAGATCTATCCAGAAAATCCTTGAAATGATTTATAATAACAACGGGTTGGTTTAAAACGAACTCCCGTATCAACTGGCCCAACGAAATACATCAGCTGGAACAGATGTTTGCAAATTGCGCGTTCCGTAATTTCGATGCCGATTATTAGGAAGTCTAAGTTATCCATTTTTCACACCGGCCCCAAAGCCGGAATGACAAACTTCCAAATAATCTTAATGGAAAAGAGTCACAGTCGCTAAACATTTAACTGTGCTTATAAAATTTTCAGAACGGAATTCTCAAGATGGTTCCGGCAATCGTCCCTTTGGCCAACCTCTCTGTATCGGTCCCCAAATTTATAATGGAATCGACGTCGAATCACAACCCCTCAAGTCACCCTCTCCTTCGCCATCGAAAGGAAAAAAATACACGTCAAAAAATAAAAGCGTGTCACAGAAATGTAAAAAATAGCCCTTTCGGATTTAGATTTTCGAGGATAGTTTTTTTCGCGTTTTTCTCGATCGCATGCTCTATTATATAGGGCGCGTCATAGTCCATAGTAGTACCCGGTTGAAACTGAAACTTTGTGAGTGGCTTTGTTTCGGCCCTGCACCCAAACTTTTTTGGAAAATCTTTCGTAGAATGGGGTCGTTTGGTAATAGAAAAAATGAGATTTGAACTTTGTTTTCTAACCTCACAAACCTGATATTTTATCTCTTTTAAAATAAACTGTTGAGCAAATACTATAAATTTAAATTAACAACAAAAATTAAACAATTATTTTATGTTTTAGGTTGTTTTTTTAAATCTCCTGTTAAGGTCAACCTTATTTTAAGATTATTAAAATAGAGCCCCAATGAAATAGAGGATCGCAAAATAATATGTAATATTTTGAAAATTTCACTCATTTTTAACCAAAAACAATTGAGTGTATTAATTCATCGCCACTTTCGGAAAATTTCTATTACAGAAAAGTTGAGAGCTTGGTCGAAACGAGTAACATAGTCTCAACGTGACAAAACTATCCCGTATCTTGGACTATGAACAATCCAAAATTCAAGTTGTTAGTATGTGGGTCGGCCGTCACAACATAGCTATTTGCCCGTTGTTGAGAGTATTTTATTTTTTGATTGTTATATTACCTATTGTATCCGACTGTGATAATAAAAAAAACGTTTACAAAAATGTCGTTTTCGCTTGGCCGTGCTGGACCTACAGTAACGTAAGTCTCTAGGTTTGGATTTTTTCGATTTAACAGTTTGAAACTAAACAGCGACAACTAATCGTTATTCTGTGATAAGTTGGTTTTGGAAGCTCCTTAAAACAACCCACAGAAATCCTTCCAACTTTACCCCATGCCGCATGCTAGCCTAGGCATACTTTCCAAGTGCATTGCTTTTTGACGTTACGGCTCATTTATTAGAGCGTAATGAAACAAAGTCGCATAACAAGACAACTCCTTACACTTCTTCTAGATGCCTTTCTCCTCGTCTAGTAATGCAATTACTTATTCCCACGTAGAAGTGAATGCTACATGTTGTTGGACATTATAGGCAAAGCCCCAATTTTCTATAAATCTAGTTCACGACTTCTATATAATGACTGTTATATCAAGCAGTTCTCTATTTCAAAACAAAAAAAATTGGGACTTCGTTTCTGATGGTCCCGCGAAATAAAAACCAAAAAATAAATGTTTCTACTTGGTGGTGTGCATTGTAGACTATACTTTTCGTCTATAAGTGACGTAGTAAACATTGTTATTCTGTTATTCGATTCAGGATATAGCATGAAGATTCCTTCCTCGAGTTCAGGGATTTTTTGTCCAATGTTTGGAACCCAGAACGTTGGTCTGTATTAGGTTCTGTGATCAATATCTTCGAACAGCTTAGCGATTAAAAATAGAATGTTGTTTATACGAGTGATACAGCGAATTATTTGATAACCTTATTTAAACTGCATAAAACGGGAGAGAAGTGAAAAAGACAACCCTATTCATTCAAGGAATCATACTAAGCTGATTTATATTAGAACACAGTTTTCGGTCCACATATAACGTATGTATATGTACTCTGCATGCGCAATAAATGTAACTCGAATTGTGAAGAAGTAAATTCTAATACAACAAGAACACTTTAGGCATTTTATTTAGTTGCGCATTCGACTCACTTTCAATTTACTTTTGTTGTTGTGGATCATTTTCTCTCATTATGACAAAAACTGCAACTACAAAAAAACGCAAAGTATGAAATAATAATAATTAAAAATGAGTATTTGGTAATAAAATATACAAATCATGTAGTTCCTCAATCAATAAACATATAACGTTCTGTATCTAGCCTGGCCGAGTCACTCACGAAGAAAGAGAGACTAAACATCCATGAACTAGAAACTCTGGGGTTAAGAGTTTATTGCTCATGTGCACGCATACTATAAAACAAATTTAGCAGTGCATCATGATATGAGGATTTTTTTCATCAAATCAAACTGCTGAATGAAACCCATAGAAGACAAAACAAAAATGGCCAGCTGACAGCGGTGTTGCCGATAGTTGCGTAGGTAAGAAAAATATAAAAAGGTCACGTCGGAACTGCCAGCCAAAAAATAAACGACTAAAAATCTAGCTTTATACGTAGAAAAGATAATATATCTGATGTATACTGTTACTCAAATTGGCCTGTGTTGACGTATATAGTTGTTGTGTATTTGACATTTACATAAAATGGGATTTCCCTTTATTTGGCAACAGTGCAAGTATATATCTTATTACAAACTTATTATATACAGTTCCGGCATTTCAACCAAACTCACATTTCTTTCTCTCTCTTTCATCGTGAGGGGTCGTATGATTTATATGCAGCTTGAGGTAATGTCAAATTTTCAATATTGTTCTCTAGATCAATATTATAACATTTTAGTAGTGTGTTTTTGTAACTTCTGGAATCTCGGTTTTCCGTGCTAGATCTGGAATTATAGAGTCCTTTTGGTCCTCAAAAACCTGTTAAAAGCGTTTCCGTCGTTACCTACTCGCATAAACAACATTATAGATACCCTTTAATTAGCGATGAGCAACTCGGTTGCGTAGTTTATAGCGATTTACTTCACAGAATGCTACAGTGCATGGCGTTTTTGTTTGTCCCGATTTTGTTTAATGTTTTGATTCCGGCAGAGTGGATTTTTAATTTTTGCGACTGCGTACGGATGTAACAAAAAAACAAAACGAAAACCGCAATTACGAGCTCGTGAATATATAGACGTTCGACGGTTGTTTCGTTTTGTTGCGAACCCGTATGCACAGCGGATAAAAACAATAACCCATCGCGAATTTATTTGACAGCGCCACACTCACCACGCCGACAAAAGCTCAACTTGAGAATGAAAAGCTTGTCGCTGGATTCACCGGAAAGTACGGAACATGCGCAGCGACGTCAGCGACACGGGGCGAATGCCGCCAGTGATCCCCATTCTAATCAGAGTTCGTCATCGAGGATTCAGTGTATGAAACGGATAGACGTATTTGGCACTTCGTCTTGATCGATTCCGCTTTCAAATATAATCTTTACGCAGCAGCGACCCTTACAAATGAATTCAAATGCACTGTTTTAACGCAGTTCCAAAAACTGAATGCAAATAAGAATTGCCGTTAACTCCATGATGCAAATTTTCCGAGCCAAATATAAATGTGTAAATGAAAAATGCTTACCCCCAAAATTAAGAACTAGAGAAATGTTGATGTTTAACGTTTGTTTGTTTAACTTTCGTGTTCCCTAAAACTAATTTTTTGACGATTCCTGTATAGGGTTATTCATTATATTTTGACACCCGCCTAGGGGGTTCGTTAATTAATAATCCACACAGGCAGTGAAAATCCAAGGACGGACGTCAAGGATCCTTGAATGGTTAACGATCTTTAAATTTCCTTGCAAAAGAAATAGAACAGTTGTTGGAAAATGTGCCAGTTAGGAATTATTCAAATCACATAATGTCCAGCCGGTTACCGATTATCTAAATAATAGACATAGACTTTGGGTAGGTAGGCAAGGAACTACCAAATGGTCTGCCAACAGAGAAGATCCTGCTTTTATCAGCTCGTGTATTAATGGAAAACTGAAAGGAAATATTGTACGGTGCATAGAAATTTAATTAAAATTAAAATTAAATGAAATTATAATGATTGATATTGTATAACGCATTTGAAATATTTTAAGTTATTTAGCTTGTGCTGCAGATCTTTAGTTTTGATTAGTTGTCAAAAGAAGAACATTGTTAGAACAATTGCAAACATAGATAATATAGTTGCTATCAAGGCAGACTTGACCATTTTTAAACAATATGGCTATTGTCCGGAAATGGAATGATAACAATTTCTAAAATGAATTATCTTAACAACGGATAAATGAAATGACAATAAAATATATGTTATGACATCAGAAAGAAAAGATCTACAATTTAATAACAGATAGGGCAGTTCAATTTTTAAAAAATTTTGCTGTCATTTTGACAGCTTGCGATCGTCATTTGTTTTTTCTGACATTTGCAGAAAATAATAGAGCAAAAATCTTCAAACGTTTGTATTTCCACTTTTTTTCTATATTTCAAAATTAACCCCGTAGGTGGGTGTCAAAATATAATTAATAACCCAGTACAGTTAGGGTTACATTGAAATGCAGTTTTTTTTTTAAATGTTTATTGCCGTATTTTTATAATAATCGGTTTTACAATTTCGTAGTTAAATTGCACCAGCTGCAACTTTTTTAACCAAATCGTAATTATTGAAATTTTCATGGTTAACATAATAATATAATATTGGAACTATGTGCTTACTTTTGAAAAAGTTGAATCAATGGTTTCCTTTATCAAAGTATTTATTGTAAATATAAATTTAACTTTCATTCATCGTCTTTCGGGATGTAAAACCCTTAAGTTAAACGCAAACGCTTGGCGCTTATTTTCAAGCACAAGTTCAAAACTATTTACCAGTAAAAATAGCGGACTATTTTTTATTCTTTTAGACATATTGCATAAGTACATGTTATTATTGAAATATTCATGGTTAACTTTTTGAATTTTTTCTAGGAATTACTTCGTAAATGTTTTTTGCACCTAAATATTTCCAGCCGGATATTTAGTATTAAGTAGTTTTGAAAGTATTTATTTATTCTAAATATAAATTTAACTTTCATTCATCATCTTTCGGGATGTAAAGCTCTTAAGTTAGACCCAAACGCTTTGCGCTAAATTTCGAGCACAAATTCAAAATTTAAATAGTGAAAATAGCCGATAAATTCTTTTACTTCTAAATATGTTGCATAAATACATTTCTTCGAGTGTTAAAACAACAACGTGTATCAGTTTTTGTCGTTGTTTTTGTTGTATTTTGAGTATTTTATTTTTTAAAAAATTAAAAAAAAAACAACTAAACGATAAACTTGCGTTCACAGAGCACAGAAACGGAGTTCAATCATCACGTAATTAATTATATGTATCGTCTACCTAGTTTATGCTGCGTTCGTTGTTTACGTCTGATCAATCTTCTCGCTCCAGATCGTTAATTAAGTACCTCCTAAACATATCTTGCATATCTATATTTTCCTTTTATATAATATAAATATTAAACGTATGTGGAAGTGACCTACCGAACACCAAGCACCATGTTCAAATTTGGCATGATCTGATATCCGATTCTGTTCGCAGATGTAAATAACGAACACGACTTGAGTGGACTCTGTTTTCGAGATATAGTTTTTTTTATATAAATTTGTAAGGGTCGCAAAAAAAATATTGATCCTGGTATTTAGGATTTCCACACTTCTGCACGTCTGCATCCAGAGTGTCTACCTTGCACAAAAATGTCGATTAAACCTTTGGCAGCGATGGTTTATTTAATTTTCTAACGCATAAGTTTGGTTTTGATTTACTAATCCCGCATGTTTCACAGTGGTTGCATCCACAATACCTCCACGGTCTCTTCCAACGTACCCCGTGAGAAAAGACCTGAAAACCTGCTCAAGTACGACATTTCGATTTATTTATTGTATATTGTTGCGATTATGTCAAGCTTGCGCTGTTATTACACACTAACAAACCATTTTTTTCTCGACGTAACTACAAAACAAAACAAATGTTCGCGTACGCTTCTGCAAGAATGCTAGTAATTTTGGGAAGTGCGGAAGAATAATATTATTGCTTCGTATTTAGCTCCTTCCAGTCCAGTGCACAATCGCCGTTTACTGTCTGCAAAGAACATTCGAATGTCATCCGTGGAACTGCCAGATGAAAACGAGAAAAGCCCCTCGTCTGCAAGCACTTCGCCTTGTCCTAGTCCCGTTGGTAAAGTGAGTAGAAACTTAACGATTGAAGGCGAGAGCAGTCGTGAACATTGTTTTCAGTGGTTCATTGTCTGTTTTCAATTTCCACTTTTCGACTTTATAAACTTAACAATGGTGAAAAATCAATTCCAAATATTTTTTAATTGCTTCTAAATTTTGAAATTAAAATATTTATGCTAAAAATACCGGGTGACAGAAAAAAGTGGGAACAGTCTATAACTCTTAAACGGCTTGAGATAGCGATTTGAAATTTGGAAGGGTTAATATAGGCTGAATGTCCACTTTTTTTATATTATGTAGTCGATGGTTACACTTCCGGTTTGAGCGGAAATCACAGTAATTTTCGAATTTTAAATGGCACAACCCATATTTTTTTGCATTTTTGAATTCAGGAGATCATTCTACATAGGATAGGACAGTTTTTCTGTTTTTTTTTTATTTCTTTTAATTTTTATTTAATTTTTGAAAATTGTGTCTAGGAGACTGTGGCCATCGTAAATACATTACATCATATAAATTGTAAATGAAACTTTTCTTTATTTGTCTAATGGCAAATAGCATTTAATGTAGTGAACTATTAATTTTTTAGGATAACCTAGTTTTTTCAAATAGCACACTAGTGGGAACAAAAACTTTTTAATTCCGTAATCACGTAATTAATTATATGTATCGTCTACCTACTTGATGCTGCGTTCGTTATTTACGTCTGATCAACCTTCTCGCTCCAGATCCTTGATTAATTAAGTACATCCTAAATATACCTTGCATATCTATATTTTCCTTTTATATATTATATGTTATATAATTTTCAAATTTTAAATGGCACAACCCATATTTTTTGCATTTTTGAATTCAGGAAATAGGATAGGACAGTTTTTCTGTTTTTTTTTTATTTCTTTTAATTTTTATTTAATTTTTGAAAATGTAAATTGTAAATGAAACTTTTCTTTATTTGTCTAATGGCAAATAGCATGTAATGTAATGAACTATTAATTTTTTATGATAACCTAGCACACAAAATAGCACACTGGTGGGAACAAAAACTGTATAATTCCGGTACTTTTCTGGAACATTTTGAGTCCAAATCCATTAAAAAATAAGCTCACAGAAAGGAAAAAACGAGATGAGTAAATACATTTTTATAAAAACAAAATGTTAATTAGGTGGCTTTGCTTCTATTCATCATCAAGTCGGCATGATTGAAAATTATGACATTTTGTACATTTTTATCTGATTATCGATTTTGTCTTGTTATCGATTTGGATTATAACGGAAAACAAGAATCAATTTACAAATTGAGAAAAGGTTGATATGTTTCTGATATTCGGAGAATGCAGAAAAAACTCTCAGGCGTCCCCTTCCTGCACATTCTTTCTTTGAATTGAAAATGAGAAATCTACAAAATAATCGACATGATAATTTTATTATAAGTGAAGAAATGGAAATCAAGGTTAGATATCTCAAAAAAAACACGGCTATTATTCTTTTAAGTATAAACTTCATCAATGTCTTTATGAAGCTGACTTTGTACGTGGGCACGTGAAAAGTCCGTGTTTATGTAACTCCAGTGTTTGTCCTACAAGAATTAGAGCGGACAATATCGACTGCATTTGATAGTATAACTCCAGAAATGTTAGGAAGGAGTATTACAGCGAATATAATTTCTAGAGCCAGGGATCATCGTATACAAGAAAGCGGACATCTTGAAAACATTCTATGAAAGTTTCATCTTATAAATTGGTTAATAAGTAAATATCTATGGCACTTATTTAATTCAAAGAAATACAAAACTCCAGTTCCAAAATAAATGAATGTGATGTTTTGTGTCAATGTAAAACTTGTCTTACAGCAACACACGTTGATATACCACTTTCAAATTGATTCTACCGACATTGTTGAGGTTTTATTTTCTAACTGATTTTCAGAATATTGTGTTGAATTATCCCAAATAGTAATAGATTTGAAAAGAAAAAAAACTATTCTCTTGTTCTTCTGAGTTTCC